GTGTGTGTGTGTGTGTGTGTGTGTGTGTGTGTGTGTGTGTGTGTGTGTGTGTGTGTGGACGACAGCTGGGCCTCATCCCTGCTGCCATTTACACCGGGGAAGAAAAGAAGAATAAACAGATGGGCAGATGTTCTCGCTCTTTCTCCATCTCTGCACTCATTTTTTCCTTGGCCTTGGCCTCTGTCACTTTTAGCTTTTTTTTTTGTTTTGTTTTTCAAAAAAAAAACATTTCCTCCAGCATCTTTTGCCTTTCAGCTATCACACAACTCATCACATCTGTGCTTAAATAGTGATGTCTATTTTAGTTATTTTCTTTTTATACAACAGAGGCAGGTGGAATCGTCAATGAACATGTTGGGGGTCAAAAATGGAAACTTTCCAAAAATGACCCAGAATGAATTTGTGTCCTTGGTCCAACCATTTATCAAACCAACGCTAAGAACGATCCTCCTGCTGCGTCTCTTCACGTCACTAAAAAACGTTGAAGAAAATTAAATATACATACCACTAAAACACACCACAAAGCTGCCACCATCTATGTAAAATATACTCTGTGAAAAAGACCAAACTTTGTACTGGAGATACTCCATCACTGGGAAATCTTTAACTTGGCACATTGGAAAAAGTTTATTTAAAAAAACATAGAACGTTCACTGAACTAAGCAGCCAATCAAGGATGTGTTGTACTGAACAACCTGACCAAATTCAAAACATCACGTCAGCTAAAAGATGTGCAGGTGTTTAGGAGGGGATGTAGCGAGCTGAAGTGGGTACAAAGTGGGTTGATGCAGGCACAGAGTGGACCCAGGCAATGTTTATGGACTAGCAGGACTACTGAGCCAGCTGAGGTGGGTCTGATGCAAGCTAAAAAAGGTACAAAGTGGCCATGGTGGGTACAAAGCAGACAAAAGGGGTATGAAGTAGATTAGGTCAAGTCAGGTAGAAAGTGGACAAACAAGAACAAAATTTGAAGCAAGTCAAAAAATGGGTGCATGTTGGGTTTAGGAAATTATAACGTGTGCTAGCATGGGCACCAAGACGGTTGAGGTGGGTATGAAGCAGACAAAGTGGGTACAAAGAAGATTAATGTAAGTATAAATTGGGTCAAGTCGGGTAGAAAGTGGGTTAACAAGTACAAAATGATTTGAGGCAAGTMAAACAATGGGTACAAACTGGATTTAGGTGGGTATAAAGTGGTCAAAGTTTAGCACAAACTAGGTTGAGGAAACTATGACATGATAGCATGGGTAGTAAGAGGGTTGAGGTTAAAATTAAGCAAACTAAGTGGGTACAAAGAAGATTAACATAAGTATAAAGTGGGTCAAGTCAGGAAGAAACTGGGTCCAAGAATATGTATAAACTGGGTTTAGGTGGGTACAAAGTGGTCAAAGGCTAGCACAAACTACGTTGAGGAAAYGATGACGTACTAGCATGGGTACTAAGAGCGCTGAAGTTGATACGAAGCAGAATAAGGTACAAATATTACAGAAATTAAAAAGCAGGTCAAGTCAGGTAGAAAGTGATCTTACAAGAGTACAAAATGGCCTGAAGAGTGTTCTACGTAGGTGGATAGAAGGCAGACTGAGTTTTGTTCAAAGAGCTAAAAAGCTACAAACAACTCCACCCAGTTTTTTTCCTTCTCATTAAAAAAAGATATAATTTATGTTGAAACACAAAAACTCTTTTTATCTCTTTTTTTCTCTTTCATCTATTGATTTGTTTTTCTCAATAAAAAAGGTGTAACCTCGACTGTAAGCAGAATGGGCCGAAGGATCGACTTCCACCCATCAAACACCAGAATATCTTTTCTTTTCCTCTCGCCCTAAATATCCTTTTCTCTCACTCCACCTCCCCCCCTGCTTCTGTCCTCCCTCGCTTTATTTTCCTTTTCATTTCATACACTCGTTCCTCTGCTCCATTGTCTGCCTCAGTTTCCCAGGACGGTGTGAGTGTCTCTCACAAAGAAAACAAGGTCGGACAATGAAAAGAAAGCTCTCTGCGGACGGACGAGAATCACTCTGAATGAAACAGAAGAAGAGCAGGAGGAAATAAATAAAAGAAACCAAACAAAAACGACTTGGCGAGAAGAGTAAAACGAGAGAACAGAGGAAGAGTAACTCTATCGAGCCATTTGCCAGGTCAGCTGAAGAAAAGGAGGAGAATCAGGGTGGAAACAGACGGACGGATCGCTCCGTCCTTTATTTTCATTCTGCTTTTTGTTTTCTGCCTCTTTAATAATTCAGAGAAACAAACACGGCACAGATTGAGTGGACCGGAAAGAGTGTGTGTGTGTGTGTGTGTGTGTGTGTGTGTGTGTGTGTGTGTGTGTGTGTGTGTG